CCTCAGTTCACACGAGTCATCCTCCCACATCGTCCACACGGCGTTCTTGAATATCTTGATGAAGCAACCGGGGTTCCATGGGTGGCAACCAGATTAGGAGTTGAGACTGATCGTCAACAGTAGTATCGTTGTTCCACACATTAACATAGTTAGTATTATTGCAGGAGTTATCTTTGATGATAGATGAGACATCTGTTCTGCTATTTCCCGCTTGCACCGTTGTGGGATCCGGTGTTTTTCGCAATTGGCACAAGGTGATGTTAAGGAGGAGTTATTGAGGACGGCCTATTGATGATATTCCTGGGAGCTGAGGAAGAGTAATTTCCTAAGTTATAGAATGAAAGCGGGGTGCAAGGGTGCTAAAACAGCGTCGCAGATATTCATACACCACATACAGGACTCGGGTACGGTAGCGAAGAAAAGCCCAGTACCCGCTCAAAAGGTTTAAAACCAGCCTACTGGCAATTCTGGTGGTTGCTGTTTCAGTGCCGCAGGGTAGGGCATCACACCCGCGCACATGGCACGGTTACTTAACTCTTAGCATCAAGTTATCATTCAAATCTAAAGTAACCATTGGTGGAAACTTCCAATCTCATTGGCACCAACAATATCAGATTCAAAGTCAAGTTACCCCGCTTTCCTAACCTCTCCCCCCCTCCCTCCCACTAGCAATACCGGTATGCCAGAGACTCTTCCACCCCATTGCACGATCGCAAACTGTCACCATAATTCCGCCCTGTTTTGCATTATCTATTATGGGTAATGTGTCGTGCTATAAAATAACACGACCAGGAATTAGTGTTGGATCTTTAAACAAGTAACGTAGTGTTAATCGCATTGCGACATATGGTATTGGTATGTCAATTTTCAGGTTTCGGACTTGGCTAATGAGCACAGCGCTCTAACAGTACACTTGGCAAGGGAAATTGGGTGTTTTCTGATTACCGGTGACTTATAAAACCCATTATTACCCATGGGGGTATGTAGGTTAATTAATGGAAGGGAACTGTATGTATGATAGCAACAGGTTGCTATTAAAAACTACTGCAGCAAGGGACCGAGAGGGGCCTTATTCCTTAGTAATTCCAGTAGTGCCGTAAGAACTCGAATAAGCGAACCTCGCTCTGAGAGTTTGGAAATTGCCTGGATCCAGAAAGCATGATATATCCATAGCTTTCACGGATTATCACGCAACTCGGCGGTCCAACATTTTCTTTCTTCAGACAAGAGTGTTATTTGATAATGCACAAATGCTACGGATTTGGCATGATTTCCAGATTTAAATCATTTCAGTATCCCTCACATTATTTTACCTTCTTAGTACGTGGTTGAATTCTTTGACCTCTTATAGTAAATAGTTGTCCACGAATATGGGATGGGACTGTTGGTGTATGATGAAAGGTGTCCACATATTTTGTTATAAAGCACTGAAAAGAAATCTATGCCAGTGTCTCACAGAATGAATGATAATTACACGAATTGGGATACTCAAAAAGAGAAAAAAGAAAAAAATGTAATATATTAAAGTGGTATGATAATTATAATTATGGTTTAAAAAGGTACAGGTTTATCTCAAAATACGATACAACTATTTGTGTGTCCTACAGGGTCAGAGGACCACTGATACAGAGAGAATAAATAGAACAAAATCCAGAATATAGAAAAGAAAATGGAAAGAGATGATCATTTTTCCTTTAAAAAAAAAAAAACAAGAAGGTGCCGTAAGGCTCAAAATCTAGTTTGTGGATTTTTTAAGTCCTGTCAGTTGGTTTAGGCCCTGTTCAGCATATACCAATAAATAAATACTATAGTATTTCTTGAAAATTGCTGTTGTATTTTCAAATATATTGGTGTTTGGCAACACACTTTTACTGTAGTATTTTTCTTAATAAGCAAAATCTTATCTGATATTTGTAATAAAGCTGGTACACTATGAGTATGTATTTTTTTGATTTCATTCAACATGTAGTATATAAGCAAATTACAACTTGGTTTCTTCCACACAACAAAGTATCTCTACTTTATCTCAATAATGTGTCTTATATTTGTTAAAGGAGCAAGCAGTTATACCGCATATTCTTTCCCTAAAAGTACAGATTTTTGGCATTCTTAAACCTCATATTGTGCTCTGGCTACAGGGGTGACAGCAGTAACAATAATCCAAAGGAAGGCACTATTTAACTGAAAGAAAACATTATGATTGTTATGGTTGGCTGGATCTGTATTGTCTCCCCTGATTCAGTGAGAGAGGTGGTTTTGTTGATTGGAAAGAATATGATTCAGTATGACTGAAATTGAACAGATATTTCGTAATTGGAAACTGACAATACTAATATTCCATAAAATAGTGGAGTAAAAAGAGTTGTATATGAAGAATAGAAAAATAATTGACAATTTTACATAATATTACTAAAAGAAAGCTTGAATTTATTTATCAAAAAAAAAATTTATAAAAATACTATAGTAAAAACGTCATAGAAAAATCCTATAGTATTTGTGGCTTGCCGAACACTAGGCCAAACTAATGTAAGAATACTGCAAAAAATATGCCGCAAAAGTGGAAATACTATCGTATTTTGTGCTTGCCGAACAGGGCCTTAGTTTGATTTAGAGAGAGATGTAGTTTCTTTGGGGTTTTGATTGGCTGGGAGCTAAAGTGATAGAGTATATTAGGAGGGAGGAAGGGAAAAGTTTTTTTTCCGTATGTAGGAAGTAGTGTTGTTTACGAGCCGGCTCGAGCCGCCAAGATATTTGCTAGGGTCTCCACGACACTTCTGCACACTGCTATTGTCATTCAAAAAAAACCATAAATTGTATATAGCAGCTTGAAAATATATACAACTAGCCGAAGGACCTTCCCACTATCCCCAAGTCCAATTCTTGGGCAAGCTCACCATCTCCTTCTGTGTCTACCTTGTAATTCCCATCTTCCCCACGGGTTTCCTCTACCTCTTCCCAAGTTTCCACCTCCGGTAGCCCAAGCCAGGCCGGGAGAGGGGGGGGTAGAAAGCAGGGAGGCAGGGAGGTGGTAGAATGTTTTTCGATCTCGTTGTAGGCCACTAGAAAGTAGTGGCAGAAGACCGGTAGAGGGAGTAGTAGGCACAGTGAATAGTATGTTGAAGGGGTACGTGGTGGTAGGAAGCATGGAGTTGTGGCGGTTGGAGGTTGCGATGGTTTAACAGATATGCGGCACCGGTGCCAAGTGATGCGAGCCGGCTCGAGCCCGCTCGGCTCGTGAACAACACTAAACGCGAATAGTATCAAACATGTCTTAGTGTGCGAGTGAAGTACACCGAGTGATAAGACTTTTCCCGAGAGTGCAAGGACCGATTGATACCAATTTCTCGAATTGATTTTGTTTCCTACTTTCTTCGTTTCTTTTCTTTTGAACCTACCGATTACGACCTTTTCAAAGCCGAATGGCTCTGAAGAAGATAGAATTGTAGATTGTTGGCATGTTGAATGTCACAGAGTTAATCCATCAATTCAAGGTGCATATTTGCAACTTCTTCAAAGCCATTTCCACTATTATGACAATTCTGAGCAATAAGCAAGAGTAGTCTTTAGTATATTGTATTGTTCAGCCATATCCTAACCACTGACTCTTAGCAGTTTATAGCTAGGAATGAGACCAGTGCCTGCCAATCACTTGATTTAATGCTGGGTTATGCTAATCTTGAACAGCCCTTGTATATGCTGGCCCAATATGAAAGATTATAGCCATGCCAATCATCATAACTACTGTTACCAATGATTAAGAATAGCCTTTAGTCTGTTATAGTACAGATCTGTATCTATAAAACCTACACATGGCTATTCTCTGCAGTAAATATGAATAGTTTTTAGCTAACTTTCAACTATCACGCTGAGTGATCATCAATGGGAAAGCAGAGAACACAGCTACTGCGGTCGCCAAATTTTCTCCCTCCCATCTCAAGGTGCGTCTCGGGTCATCGAGGGGTGAGTTCCCTGGCACCGAGTTTATCCTTGATAACGCCAACAACTTGTAAGCTTCAGTTGCGCGCGCTCTAGCGCGACCTTTCACTACACCAGCAATGTCATAATTGCGAACTCGGATTTGAAAAGCAAAAAGACTGGTGGCAACAGTTGAGTGGGCAACGGTCAGGTGCGCACCAGAAATGCTACTGGTATTCACAATGCGAACCAGAATACAACTCAGCTAAGGGAAACAAATCCCTGCCCTCGCCACTTGTGACAAAGCTTGCCCCAGCACTAAATCGTACTTGGAAGCAATATGGTATACGAGTAGTACCCATAACTGTATTTATATTCTACTGAAGGTAAAGGTGGCAATTAGATCCACTGAATTAAACTAGAAACTTTCTTTTACAAAAAGTAGTCAATTGGGACACCACTCGAGCATGGTTGCTTCTAGTAGAATGATCATTCCCGGCATAGATCCCCCCCCTGCTCATTGTGAAACTCAAGAAGAGTAGGATTGGAGTTGGCTCTTGCGGTATAGTTACGCAGGCCCTTTGTTGGCTTTGGTATAGTAGAAGCTGAATCTCCGGGGTCAAAATAACGGCATCGGTAACATGGTGAGCCGTCCTTTAATGAATTATACCGGAAAGAGGCAATCAAGGTGACGTAAGAAATTATCGCTTCAGCGGGTAAGGGGATTCAATGCATATGCAACAGCTGAATACCACTATGCACCCCCCGCTTCCTCTCGCTTGGTTATTGGACATTCGCTTCTAAGCGAATTTACCGTTATGCTGGCGTGGACCCTTGTCTTTTTGCGCCGTTGTACAGTACCGACACTCTACCGTAGCCGCAGCTACTTGTACGACGACCATACAAGTACAGTACAATACTATGATAGCCTCGCACCCGGCTTGGCATAAGACCCCAACGAGTACTTGTTGCCAAGGTTATGGCGGCTATCTAGAACCTTGGCACGGGCATCCCTGCCGTGTCCCTACAGCGACCACTTCAACCACCATATTCCTACCGTCAACATTAACCTCTCCATATGAACCATGAACCTCCTATTACCACCATTCCTTCTCCTGCTAATCTACATCTTCATCCGCTACCGAAAATCCTCAGACCCCTACACCCTCGACCATGCGGCCCTCAACGCCCCCCTATTCCCGCAAACAATGTGGATGAACATGGGATACTGGAAGAATACAAACTCATTCCCGGAAGCTTGCCATGCCCTGCTCACCCTCCTGCTGGAGAAGTCTGGACTTCTCGCTGGAAATACCGAGGGCGAAGTACGCATAATAGACTTGGGCATTGGTTGCGGGGATCAGACGCTGGCGATACTGCGAGCGTTACCGCGGGCGCGATACACCGGTATTACGAACAATCCCTTGCAACTGGCATTCTTAGAAGAGAGGATGAGGGAGATTGGCACTGGCGATAAGGGGCGGGCTCAGTTGCGACTGGGCGATGGTGCGGACCCGGATACATGGAGGGTTGAAGATGAGGATGGGTTAGAGACCTGGATACTTGCGCTGGATTGTTTATACCACTTCCGGCCAAATAGGGAGAAGGCGCTGCGCCATGCCGCGAAATTGGGGTCATTCGCTGCCTTCGACCTGCTGTTGAGTGAGCGAGCAAAGTGGTGGGAGAGGGGGGTGCTATGGGCAATTGCCGTGGGAACAGGAGCTCCCTATGACAATTTCATGACTGCGAAGCAGTACACTGATATGCTGCTCGCTGCTGGGTACATGCCAAGTGAGATAGAGATGGAGGATATTTCCTCGGATGTGTTTGGTGGCTTGACGGCGTATATCCGGCGGAGGAGTCAGGAAGCGGAACGTTGGGGCGCAGGTGGTTGGAAAAAGTGGAAGATTGCAGGATGGATATTTGGGTTATGGGACAAGTGGGGAATGGTTCGGGGTTGTGTGATTATTGTTAGGGGAGCAAAACGCTAATACTAGCAGTGTACGAGTACTAAAGGTTTCTCGGTTGTCCACACTTTTCTAAATTTTTTTCTTTTTCATTTTTTTCTTTTTCACGGGTACTTGCTTGCTAGTCTCAGGCTTGACATATCGGTTAAGTTACCTCATTTGTCGTCTTAATAAAGACGCATTAGGCCGAATGCCATTTACAGCGAAATTCGGTAATTTTCAAATTCCCGAACAAGAGACAACCTTCACACTTGAAATCAAGACCAATTCTGCCCACACGTGTGCCAAGTCATTTCCTTACTCAGACAAACTTCCTTCACCGGAAAGACATTTGTCACCACAAGAGCGCGTAACCTCACTCCCATGATCCAGTAATCTAGTGTCGAGCCTTAATCTTGAAACTCCATGAGAAACGCACACGCACCCCGAACCCGCTCCGCCTCCACAACCCAATTCCCTAGCTATGAGATTCGATCAATGCACCGATACCTCAACCAACCAACACCCAAAGATCACACACTTTGAAAGCCTAGAACCCGCAATGCTGGTTGAGCAAACTCATTGCTCTATACACAGTACGATATGATGCCAAAGTAGCCAAGCAGCCGGGAGGAGCAAACCCGCACACCGCCTCCCCAAATGGACACCCATTCGCCATATAGACTCCTAAAGGCGATGCGCATATGGTCCTGAGGGTTCTCTTTTGACTCTCTCCACCGAAGAGAAATGACAAATGGTAGAGACCTACCTGGAAGTATAAAGACAGTGCTATGACAAATGGCGGGGGAGGATGGATGGATGGATGAAGGAGGTGGAGGTGGGGGGGTTGGTGGTCGGGCCGGAGGGGTTTTAGAGGGATGGGAGTTGCGTTCCTGTGGAGAGAAGGTTGATGGCGCTAAAACACCCAGTCGCGGGCACAGACCGGGTATCATATCCAAACGGAAGATGACAGAATGTACGATATGATATCGAGTGGGTGGGGTGTGGGGGGGAGCTGGCCCTCTACCGAGTAGTTCGGACTTTAGAATGCTTACCTTTTTCGGTATCATACTCCCAGCAGTCTTCATCTGTTAATGGAAAAAGGAAACGAGGCTCTCTCACTTGGTGTGACCATTGTCTTGGCGTCCAAGATTTCTCTAGGTATCATACGTGAGAGTACTGCACCGGTAGGTTACAGGTAGTCTAGCTTGTCCCACATTTTCAAAGATGTCAATCATATTACGAGTACTTGTGCTGTACTTGTACTGTACAGGTTATCGTACCCCTGCGCTCTTTTCCTCTAGCCTTTTTTCTTTCTTCCTTTGTCTTCTCCCCTTTCCAACTTCCTATCCCTATGAAGTATCATTAATTTCCGCCTGAGGACAACACATTTCACCGCAGCATAGTAACAGCATGGTAACGGTAGCCGTGGAAAAAATGTAGGGCACAAAACATTAGAGTATCATACCTATGGCGGTCACAAGGTTCAGATAATCTACTAAAGTCGCTGGTAAAAGTGAGCATGTGATTCCAAGTGTCCGGTTACACGAGCACTCTCCCACTAGCATATGTATCAGATGCGAACAATGAAATATCATAGCCATTTTAGCTGGACCATGTGTTTGCGGTATAGTATCACATGCGAAAAAATGAAATAAGTTATGGTAGCCATTTCTGCTAGACTATGTGTTTACGGTCACGACTTTTGAAGCAACCCCGACAGCACGCGAAAAGATCTCACGGGTCATTTATGTGCTATCATACTTGATGAAAATAAAAAGACATAAATAAGCACTACCACCACCCTTTTTTCACCTTCAGAATGGCAATTATCTCATCCACCCTCCGATCCATCTTTGACTCCATACTATCCAACCTTGAACCCATCTTTTCCATGCACTGATCCATCCTTGACTCCATCCTTTCTATGCTCCGATCCATCTTCAACTCCAAGTTTCCAAACACATCCCGGATGTAATTCTTCATTTCGTTCTTTCGATTGACATCATCGTAGCAGACTTTGGATATAGCCTACATTTATGAGCAGGGACAATAAAAACGGAACTGAAACCATACAACCCCAATTGCAAGTAGAACCGCTCAAATGCCAAAGCCCATCATGCGCTCACTACACAGATCTAGAAACTGCTGAGGTTGGTAGATATGAAACCGCGACTGGGATACCCCCTTTGCTAGCCGCCTTCATGCCAGCAACATTCTAGTGCTAGTTAGCTTTGAGATCGAGTAGATGTAAATTATAAGTTCCTACCCTTTCAAGTTTTAAAAATCTTCCATAAACAGTATCAGGCCCCGCGTGTTCACTTGTTCCTCCAATACCGCTACCGGCCGCAAAGCCGTGTCTCTGAATTTCATGTTAAAATAAGTATCAAAGGCTGGATGAATAATCGTAGACTTGCCCGAGAAGAGGAATCGCAGATATGAAAAATTCCTGGAGCAGATGGAAGACGCGCAAACCAAGTGGCTCGAAGGAGAGGAGGTCTTGCTGGCATACCAGTGACCTTTACCCAGTTCAGATGATCGGTGATTGAATTGTTAGGCATGAAGTGAAGGCTTGAGTAGCAAAGGAGTGTCATCCAGCGCTGGGTTGGATAGGCTATATATAGGTCGTAATTCACGACCAGCTCATGCCTATTCTATGGTATCCATCCACTTTTGGAATTGCCACGTGATGGGTGGCGAATATCAGTTTTGCTATGCTCAAATTTCCCCTATTGTGAAAGTGAACTTGAGTTTGTATGATGGGTATGATATCCTATATTGGCAAGACACCACTTGAGACCTCTCATGTTAGGGCTTGCTCTCATAGGCATTGACCTCCCCATTATAGCGTTTGCTCATGAATATTTTTTACTCTTTAACCTGTTTTGCATACGGGTTTTTCGTTTCCTCTGCCCACATCTGGCGCGATGTCTGTCTATCTGCGGCAAGAACAGAAGTAAGTGTAATGTTGGGTTTTATGCGTAGGATAGTGAACCTATCGGATGTTCCAGACAGGGTAAGTTTTTTTTTTTTTTTTTGGAGAACAGTGCCACTACATAGCAGGGTGCCACTCGAGACCTCTAACAAGTTTGCTCACTCCAGTAGGCTGATGGCGAAATGACTGGTATCCAAGAGAGAGGATATGTGTATTGACCTGTGAGAGAGGATGATGATTTTGTCACTGTTCATATCTACTAGGGCCATTAAGACCCAGCTAGTTAAGTTGAGCAAGAGATCTAAAAGAAGGTTCAATCAGAATGTCTAGATTTCCATAGAGCTCTTTGCCGGTGATCGGACTTTTAGTTTTGTTGCCTTACCGGTCCCTGATTTCTTTTCGTTTTATCATATTTTATTCTTGTTTCACCAGTCGTGGCCTTATAAAATTCCAGCGGCCAAGAGTGTTCCTACATCAGATAACAAGGAGCTGGCATAGCATCGAGGATGTACCATGCTTTTGGATAATAATATCTGTCTGTCCACTACCACTCTTGCTGATTTGCTCTCTCACCAACCATTATCCTATGAGCACCCCCAGCCTTACTCTGGCCTAACATGCACAATATCGACCAATACTCAGTAATTCCTTTAGAGTACAGGCCAATTATTACCACCTAGCCTCCCTCTCACAGGTTTTGGAATGGTCTCAGAGTAGTTCTTACTCCAGTCAGCTGGACCAAAGCCCTAAGATTGATTTCCAATCAGAAACCATATCCGCAAATTCAAACATTGAGATCTCCTCTCTGCCCCTTAGTTCCGCTCGTCTGTATAGTTTCTGTGATAGATATAACAGGCAGGCCGCAATCACCTGAGACCACCCATACAATCCTTCCACCCTACTATCTTCCACTTCGGTTCCTTATCACCGCCCGCGGGCCCCACCACCCCAGTTGCCATAGTGAGATACATGAATAGACCGCCTGTCCATCCCAGTCGGTGCCACTTGGTAACCCCGTGCCGGATCCCATGACCCCCCCCCCTTGACCACTCCGAACGTCACCGGGAGCCTAGTTTTGTATTTTCAACTAATTGTAGGATATCCGTTGATTTAATTTTTCTTACCTTTCTCTTTTTTTTTATTCTATCTTGTTTTCTGTCTGAAATTCTACAAATTGGGCTAGGGATGTTTGGTTGTTTCCCAGTGGTTGATTATAGGGCCCAAGCGACTGTTCAGATTAGAGGCGCTATCGGATGATCACATCGTATGAAAGCTTTCTTTGGGCCTGTTCCCTCAGTATGATATGAGTATAGTACTAGTACAAGTACGATAATATGATATGACCCACTCGCATAATCTAGAAATGCCCTTTTCCTTCCTTACATCCTGCTTGAGTTACATTCCATTGTACGATAAAATAATTTGGTATGACAGACAGTACAGTACACAAACCTTTCTTCAAAAATACTAAGTCGTCGTTTGACTGCTCGATTACCATTTAAGATCTCCCATTATAGTTTGTCTTAGCAACCTCCTTAAATTGAATTATCACTACTATGATACTATTGTTATTGTTAATTAATTCTGTGCTTGCTTGGATTTGTTGGCACTACGATAATCTAAGACAAAGCCTCCAGGACGTAGTCGAATTGGGACCCGCAACAGCCACACACCACCCAAGAGATATAATATAGTACCCTTTATAACATGCCGAACACCAGGCAAAGCTGAGATTAAAATGCCCTAAATGTGGAAATATTATACTACTTGCATTGTCCTTATGGAATGCCGAATAGGGATTTCTTTTATGATACGATACATGACAGAGAAGTTTGTAAGGTAGCCCCGATATCGGATCTCTTCTCCCATGATAATCCATTTGCCAATATGTGAGAAAGTGGCTGTCTAACCAAAACCATCAACCAATGATAGATCAAATTTTAAGAAAAAGAAAGAAAATTTCTACAACACCAAGTGTTAACAAAAGGAAGAAATAAGAAAAGGAAAGAACTATCATACCGGTACGGGTATGGTATCATAGAACCACAAAAAAAATATCCAATGATACCGAAGCACAGAAAAACAAACAGGAACAAAAACCAACCACGAG